ATGAAGTTAATACCACTGATGTGACTGTTACCGAGGATAGAACATTTCCTGATGAAGCAGATGAACCCCATATGAAGCAGAAGTCAACGAGACAGAGACCAATACCGAAGAAGATACGTCCCGTAAAATTAAGAGACTTTGTTGAAATGTAATTTTGTGTTTGTAATTCTGTACATTTAATTAAATTATTGTTATTGGTTTATTGGAAGTGGCTATTGTTCGGGACGAACAATACTAAGGAGAGGCAGTGTTGCGTCAGCGAGGTCACGTGACTAGTATCACGCCACCTGTTTCTAGAAATATCCTGTTCCTTCAAGAATGCCCCTGCATTTACTAGATATCTGTTAGTCTTGTATACATAAGACGTTCACAACGTGACGGGACAACAGTGCAATGAGTAATTGCATGTATGCGGATAAAATATTGTTGGCCACGTGAGACGTGAGCGTTTGTTATAGAGCGACTGTTGAAATTAAGAGTATCGCAAAGTTATATTCAGAAAGAATAAACCAGTTTTATTTAAGAAAGGACTTGTGTCGCTAAAGTTTCGTCGGGACGAATTTACGGAAAATTAACTAACAAACGGAGACGTAACAATATGTTTATATGTTGTTATGATGAGTTTATAAAAGAACAATCATGGCTAAGGTTAGGAATGATTGTGTTTTAATATATGTTTATAAATGATGATTTTATGAAACAACAATCATGGCTAAGTTTAGGAATGATTGTGTTTTAATATATGTTTATAAATGATGAGTTTATAAATGAACAATCATGGCTAAGGTTAGGAATGATTGTGTTTTAATATATGTTTACAAATGATGATTTTATAAAAGATCAATCATGGATAAGGTTAAGAATGATTGTGTTTTAATATATGTTTATAAATGATGAGGTAATAAAAGAACAATCAGAGTAATATAGTTGCACCCAAGTAGAATGTGTATGCTTACGCTAAAAATAACCAACTTACCCAGCGTAATAATCTTCCATTCAAATAGTACTTATATATATATATATATATATCTTTACACCAAATATCCAACTTACTCGGTGTAATATAATTCTACCGAAGTAGTATACATATATATGTTTAGGCCAAACATCAAACTTAATTGGTGTAATTTAGTTCCACCCAATTAGCATATGTGTCTTTACACCAAACATCAAACTTAATTGGTGTAATATAGTTCCACCCAATTAGCATATGTCTCTTTACACCAAACATCCAACTCACTCAGTGGAACGTACTTGTAAACAAGCGATATTTCTGTTTATTGATATTATTAATTCTGCAAGATGTTATTGCAGACATTCTGATTATTTCGACATTTCTAAAATCTGTAGTCCTTTGGATATAGGTTAACAAATTGTAAACAGTAATCTCCAAGTTTTGTTCAGAAGAATGATCAAACTTGTCTCTCTACAAACACATCAGAATACTTCCATTCAATTGTATGATAAAACAAAAATATCTGCGAATTGTTAAGAATTTACACGAAATTAAAATGTATAGTACGTCAAGTTAAAAAAAACATTTATACCAGAAGAGTACTTAAGAACGACATTTATACCAGATGAGTACTTGTAAGAACGACATTTATACCAGAAGAGTACTTGTAAGAACGACATTTATACCAGATGAGTACTTGTAAAAACGAAATTTATACCAGATGAGTACTTGTGATAACGACATTTATACCAGATGAGTACTTGTAAAAATGACATTTATCCAAGAGGAGTACTTGTAAAAACGACATTTATACCAGATGAGTACTTGTGGCAACGACATTTATACCAGATGAGTACTTGTAAAAACGAAATTGATACCAGATGAGTACTTGTGACAACGACATTTATACCAGATGAGTACTTGTAAAAACGAAATTTATAACAGAAGAGTACTTGTAAAAACGACATTTATACCAGATGAGTAGTGACAACGACATTTATACCAGATGAGTACTTGTGACAACGACATTTATACCAGATGAGTACTGGTAACAGCGACACTTATACCAGATGAGTACTTGTACAAACGACATTTACACCAGATGGGTACTTGTGCCAACGACATTTATACCAGATGGGTACTTGTGACAACGACATTTATACCAAATGAGTACTTGTGACAACGACATTTATACCAGATGAGTACTTGTAACAACGATACTTATACCAGATGAGAACTTGTACAAACGACATTTATATCAGATGAGTACTTGTGAATCGACATTTATACCAGATGAGTACTTGTGACAACGACATTTATAAAAGATGAGTACTTGCAAGAACGACATTTTTACCAGATGAGTACTTGTAACAACGACATTTATACCAGATGAGTACTTGTGACAACGACATTTATACCAGATGATTACTTGTAACAACGACCACATGACTCGGGAAGATATTGTTTAGTTTAGCCATTGTGGTAAATATCTTGGAGTTCAGACTGTAGTCATGGTTCTCTCTAACTGTTTAGGAGTTCAATGACCGTTACCACATTCTTATACATCATGTGCTGCTGGAGAATCATGAATACAGAGTGAAAAACTACCTGTTTAAAAAGTTTAATCTTCTTAATGCATCCATGGAATACTTCTTCCAACGTCAGCATCAACTCTCTTTCCTCTGGTGGACGTTGTTTATCATGTCTGCAGCCTAATTTTCCTCCATGAGCAATGTTCGGGACAAAAAATTCTAAGAAAACAGTAATTATTAAAAACGTCTAATAAAGAAAAGGCTAGCTATGTCTATTAAAGGTAAAAAGTAACTTATAACTTATTGAAGCTAATCACGTGTGATAAACTGTAATGATTAGAAACCCTATTATCGTTATTTAACAACCATAATCCCGATAATATCTGATGAAGTTCGATCATTAAATTCAATAAAAAACCTAAATTCTAACTAGAATTAATTGTATCTGTATAAAAAGTACTGGTATTTATAAGGATAACATGAATGAAGGCATTTAGGAAAATTTGAAACTTGTATAGAGATATAACAATTGAGTAAAAATATCGAACAGATTGTGATTTGATTATTATCAAATATCGTTGTTACTTTAAGATGAGTTCCATAATTACGGTTACACGCAGTTACTTTATCCAATTCCGAAAGAAAGGAAACTGATTTACCAGCAAACGGGTTATCTACTCCAAAAAACTCTTCAAAGGTTCTGTGCGGTTCACCATGGAAGACGTAGCCTTCTGTAAAGTCCTGTCCTTCCTCTGCCACCGGAACACCAATCTTGAGACCTTTCTCACCAAATTGATCATAAATGGCCTTTCTTTTTGCTTAATATAAATAAAAAGGTAAGAAATACCTGCCGAAGTGTAACCATAAGTTACAGAATTTTATTATATTATAAAATGTACATAAAACTAGTTAATAGTGTTTGTAGAGGGGTGATAGCAAACTAGCATAAAATATTGTCAACAATGTATTTACTTTGTATACCAACAGATCATTTACGCGGTGTCTAGTCTTACAGTCAGTAGAAAATATGAAACATTTTGTTTGAGTTGTTTTGTAATACTTGTTGGCGTTTCTTGGCAAAAATAACTACTGATTAACTTAAAAACAAATCAAAATAACGTCTGATTAACTTATAAACAAATCAAAATAACTACTGATTAACTTATAAACAAATCAAAATAACTACTGATTAACTTAAAAACATATCAAAATAACTACTAATTAAATTAAAAACAAATCAAAATAACTACTGATTAACTTATAAACAAATCAAAATAACTACTGATTAACTTAAAAACATATCAAAATAACTACTAATTAAATTAAAAACAAATCAAAATAACTACTGATTAACTTAAAAACAAATCAAAATAACGTCTGATTAACTTAAAACAAATCAAAATAACTACTGATTAACTTATAAACAAAGTAAAATAACTACTGATTAATTTAAAGCAAATCAAAATAATTACTGAATAATTTAAAACAAATGAAAATAACTACTGATTAATTTAAAACAAATCAAAATAACTACTGATTAACTTATAAACAAATCAAAATAACTACTCATTAATTTAAAACAAATCAAAATAACTACTGATTAATATAAAACAGATCAAAATAACTACTGATTAATATAAAACAGATCAAAATAACTACTGATTAATTTAAAAGAAATGAAAATAACTACTGATTAATTTAAAACAAATCAAAATAACTACTCATTAATTGAAAGCAAATCAAAATAACTACTGATTAATATAAAACAGATCAAAATAACTACTGATTAATTTAAAAGAAATGAAAATAACTACTGATTAATTTAAAACAAATGAAAATAACTACTGATTAATTGAAAACAAATCAAAATAACTACTGATTAACTTAAAAACAAAGTAAAACAACTACTGATTAACTTATAAACAAATCAAAATAACTATTCATTAACTGAATAACAAATCAAAATAGCTAATAATTAACTGATAAACAAATCAAAATAACTACTGATTAACTTAAAAACAAATCAAAATGAATGATCTCGACACATAGACTATATATTTTCCAAACTTTTACAGAAATATTATGATGTCGCTGGTGGACGATAAGAACTGAAGTTTGCATATCCGATCACAGCCAATGAAAACCTACAACTAAATGCTGACCATCAAAAACATAAGTGGATTGTTGAGCTCTTGCCAAATGGCAGGTATTTTCTTTTATAGAAATCCTGCAAAATGTAAAAAAGTAAAATCCGTGCCTATTTCCTTTTTTTTTTTTTGTGGGCAAAAGAAATAAACAGTTATCTTAATTGAAAAATCAGAGCATCATAAAAAAAAACAATATTTGATTCTCTCGGGCACCCCCTTCCCCGGGAGACCAAAATTGACCAATATCTGACAAACCAAGAGGATTGGCAACTGTAATAACTAAATTTAGAAAAAGGGCCTGAAGTTATTTTTTTAGGTGCCAAACCTTCTTGAGACTCCCATAAGAATGGCACGTGCTATATCTACGTGCTGTAAAAATGAAATAACCAAGCATTATTTCTTGCAGTGAAGAAAAAATATTTACTAACATCAGCTATTTGTTATAATCTTTTACCTTGCATCGTGCATATACTCTGGTAATCATATCAAAGTGGACATCTGTGTAATATATACACTACACTTGCTTCGTGCGTATACCCTGGTAACCACATCAAAGTGGACATCTGTGTAACATATACACTACACTTGCTTCGTGCGTATACCCTGGTAACCACATCACAGTGGAAACCTGTGTAATATATATGTACATTGACTTGCAATGTACATTTTCTGGTATAGTTTTGTCAATTCCATGAGGGTAACATGCAATCCAATCATTTCCAGGATTGTAAGAGTACTCTACTGTATTCAAAAGACGAGCTAAAACAGACATCTCAAAGTCCCATCAACAGCTATCTGACTATGTGCAAAAATATTGCTACACAA